TTCGAGAAGGTTGTCCCCTGTGGAACAAGAATTCTCACTCAGAGAAATTTTAGCTCTAGTTTGAGCATTACGGTATTGGACTTACTTGACAGGCATGTCCCCTATTATTCTGAGAACATGCCACACAATTGTATGGTAGGTGTCATCTAGAAGGATTAAGGATTCTAATATCTCAACTCTGAGGACTGCAAAGCAGATACTGGCATTGCTTAACCGCAATGTAGAAGCACAAGTAGTAAGTGTAGAACTTGAGATGCTTTATGGACTAGTGATAGAGGGGAGCAGATCACGAGTGTCCCCAAATTATTGAAAATGCAAATCAAGAAATTTGTGCTCGTTAGCAGGGCTGTATTTATTAATTATGTAGATCATTGTGACTTTGTATGGTTTACTGATGGAAGCTCATACTACTTGGATGGTATGCAACATACAGGATATCCACAACAGCCCACAATGGCAGGGAACAGATAAGAAAGGCCAAAGTGACAACCAAGCTTAGATCAGCAACAGGAATCAAGGACAAGAAGTCCTTCTTTAAGTACACAGAGAACAGGAGGAAAACAAGTGGGAGTGTGGGGCCATTGCTCAACAACTCAGAAGAGCTGGTTACTGGCATCCAGCAGAAAGCTAAACTCCTGAATGACTATTTTGCCTTGGTCTTTCACTAGACCATGGGGAAAACCACGCCAAGTAGAGTAGAGGATGAGCATGGTAGGAATAAATTGCCTTCCTGTTATTGCCACAGAACTGGTGTACGACCAATTAAAAAAAAAAAAGACACACACAAGTCAGCAGGACTGGATTATCTTCACTCAAAAATGCTGAAGGAGATGACCAAAGTCATTGCGGATCCCCTGGCAAAATTCTTCCAGAGTACAACTCGTAGCACTGTGAAGAAGGACCCGAGGACTGAAAGAGGGCCAGTGTTGTGCCCATCCACAAGAAGGGCAGGAGGGAGGGCCCAGATAACTATATGCCAATCAGCTTAACTTCCATCCTACAGAAAATCCTAGAAAAAGTTCATCAAGGAGTCTATCTGCCATAAGCTTGCAGAAGGTAAGATTGTGAATGACAGCCAGCATGGCTTCATTGTAGGCAGGTCTTACCTTACCAACCTCATCTCCTTCTAGAACCAGGTAACTCGCCACCTGAACATGAGACAGCAGTTTGACATTGTATACCTAGACTTCCAAAAGGCCTTTGTGGGATACTAGATCAATGTCCTCGCAAGAAAATTGGAGGATTGTGGGCTTAATTCCAAGACAGTCAGGTGGGTGAGAAACTGGCTGCAGGATAGAACCCAGAGAGTCGCAGCAAACAGATCCGTGTCATCCTAGTGAGAAGCAGGCAGCAATGGCCCACAGGGGTCGGTGCTCGGTCCAGTACTCATCAACATCCTTATTAAGGATTTGTATGTTGGGGTGAAGAGCTCACTGCCCAAGTTCACAAACAACACCAAGTTATGGGGGAGTGTGGTCATGCTTGAAGATAGACTGCAAATACAGGCAGCCCTAGACAGGCTTGCAAGTTGGGGAGACTGGAACCAGATGAAGTTCAACATCAAGAAATGTAAAGTGCTCCATCTGGGGACAAACAACCCCTCGCACACCTACTGGCGTGGCAATGCCAACTTGACCAGTATTATGAATAAAAGGGACCTGGGGGTAAAAATAAACCACAGTATGAATGAGCTGGCAGTGTGATGCTGTAGCCAGTAGGGCAAATAATGCTCTGGCATGTATCAAATCAATTCATCTCCAGCAAAACCAAGGAGGTGATTCTTCTGCTCTGCTCAGCACTGGTGAGACCACAGCTGGAGTACTGCATCCAGTTCTGGGCACCACACTTTAACAATGACATGGACAAGCTTGAGAGAGTCCAAAGAAGAGCCACCCATATGAACAGAGTCTTAAAAGGCAATCCATATGAGGAAAGGCTGAGGGATCTGGGACTCTTCAGCCTGAGAAAGAGTCTGAGAAGGGACCCAGTAGCAGCTTACTACTACACTAGGGGAGTACATCAAGGGCTCAGTGAGGAATTGTTCACCAGGGCACCTGAGGGGAAAACCAGGAGTAATGACCACAAGCTCCTGGAAGACCATTTCAGGCTCAGCATTAGGAAAAGCTTCTTCACAGTCAGGATATCAATACTGTGGAATAAACTCCCTCCAGAGGTGGAGCAATTGCCTACCCTGGAAATCTTCAAGAGGAGACTGGACAGTCACATTGCTGAGGTCATCTGACCCCCAGTTACCTTTCCTGCTTGGTGCAGGGGGCCGGACCCAATGATCTTCCGAGATCCCTTCTGGCCTTACAATCTAGGAATCCCAGGTCTCCAGAAGACCTACTCTTGAGGACCCATTACCCTGTTTTAACAACTCCAGCACCCACAGAAAAGGTCAGAGTGAGTGGCAGGAAAGGCACGTGTGGTTCTGAAGTAAAAGTGAGCAACAAAATTTGAGTGACAGCTGAATGCATCTAGTGGAAGAGTGAACTGAGATGCCTGGATGCTGTTTGACTGACATGGAGTGACAGGCTCTTCACCTCAGATGTCTGGTTAGTAAAGTGAAGTGGAGTGACTGAGGCCTTGAAATCCCTGCATCTTGGTGCTGTTTTGTGTTTGAGCGCGGTCATGGCAGTTGTGCGTCCGTGCGTCAGTTTGTTGAGATGTTTGGATTGTATGCGTTTGTTTGTTAGTGTACGCGATTTGTGTTTGGCCCTGCTGGTGTCTGACTCAGAGACTGTGGCAAGTAGGAAGGTTACCACTCCCCGTGGTGAGCAAGAGGTAACCTGTGCAAAGAAAAGACTTGATCTGCAAAACATCAACTTTCCTTTATTCAAATCTCTTATTGTTCACTGTAGCAGACCCAGGGGTGGCCATGACACCTCCCCTCCCCGATGGCCATGCAACTTTTGCCCCACTCCAGGTCTTTGGGCTATCCTCCCTCTTCTACTTCACCTACTATGTCTTGATGGATCTTGTAATACTTAGGGAGGATGCCCAAGGGTCCCAGAGTCAGCCCCAGTCTCTCAAGTGTCTACTTCTCCACATGCCCAGCCTGCACCCAATTTTCCCCTTTAACAATAAACCATGGCCCTCCTGGCCTTAGGGGCAATAATTGTGGCCCAAGAATTACAGCCCCCACAGTTCCTGCCCTTTACCTCCAAATGTTCTGAGAGCAGCAGCTCCAACCAAACAACAATCTCCCTCCAGCTCCTTACAGCCACTGCTAGCTCTACTGCTCAGGGCCTGCTTTTATTCCCTAGCACGTAGGCCTCCTACCAAACAGGTGGCCTCCTGCTGCCCATGTGACTCTCCTGATTGGGAGTGCAGTCACCCGCAGGCTGCTCCGCTGCCTACACAGGCCCTTGAAGTGGCAGGCACCAAATGTGCCCTGCCACGTACATTTTGAAAACTTTTATCATTATTGGTTGTGCATTGTACAAGGGTTGACATTTTCACACAAATACGATAATCATCGTACACCTGGCAACACTGCTGCTTTGCTTCAGTCACTAGACTTAAACTACTCTAAGCACCACCCCTCCTAGTCAGGCGGCTCCTCAGCCAGCCACAGGGGTTTCCTGTATGTTTCACAGCCAGTCTGCCCTTTGCTGCAGCCATGCACAGCAAGCTTGGCCTGCTGCACTCTCCACCGAGTGACAGGAGCCTATGGCTCCGTCACATGCACCTGAATCATGCCATCTACAAATTGCTGTAATAGTTGAGTGTGTGTAGGACTGTTTCTACCTTCTCTATCAAAAGCACAGATATTGTGTACTTAAGATGGGTTGATGGGACAGAACCAATCTCCATTTGACCACCTGACCTCTCTTGTACTTTTTTTTGTTTTTGTCCTTTCCTACACTGTAAGCCCTTGTAGGCAAAACAACATCATCCATGTATGAAAAGTTTATCATACCACCAGCACCAGCAGACACAAGTTATAGTATAGCCAGTCACAAAAGTTAGTGGGGAGAGCAGTTTTAGTCAAAGGTTTGATTTAGTTCCAGGCGTAGAGCTGAATTAGGTGCTGGGAATAAAGACACAGAAATGGATATTAAATATTTTTCATTTGGTCTAATATAGGGAGAATCTTGCTACACCAGGCAGGATGTGATGGCAGCCTGATCAAAAGAGAGTCCAATTTATTTCATTGTACTGAAATTTCTTTATATGCAAAAGTGTTCAAAACATAGTTTCTTAAGACCAAGTCAAGCCAATTTCTTTCCCTGCATTTCTTCCCAGCCAGAACCTGCTTCTACCAATTTCAACTTTTCTCCCTTCAGGAACTGTTTTTCCCTCTCCTAACATGTCTCATCAAAGCATATTTTGTTAATGTCTAAGATTTTGGTGTTAAGATTTTTTTTGCTTGGTATAGCAATACAATACTATACAGACAAGGGCTGAAAAAGTGTTTGCTGTAGTGAGTTTTTTGTAGTAACAAATGTTTTGAGATTCACTTAGTTTTGCCCCAAATGCACTGCACCCTCTCCCTGAATAGGTCCTTGATTTCTCCCCCCACATCCTCCCTTTTGCTTTGGCCCTTGTGGCCTTTACGCTGCTGAACACCTGTGTAAAGCCTTGCTGCGCTGCCATCATTGCCCTCCTGCCCGTCTGCTTGTTCCTCCTGCATCTCAGCAGTCCTCCTGTTTTGTGCTGATCCTGTCCCACATCTGGCTTGTTAGCTGCCCTGCACATGGGCCACTGGGAGGAGCTTGGGAATATTTTCATTGCGTCTTCATTTGTGAGGCAACAGGCTCCAGTGTAACGAGATTCCAAGCTAAGTGGAAATTTTTGAAGCCCTAATGTAACAAGAGCTAAATATCTAACAGGTTGGAGCAGCTTAGCTGAATTAATTCCAAAGAATTACATTCACGAGACCTGTTACTGGCAGGTGGCAACGTATCTAAAGAGGCAGGAACAGATATAGCCAATGTACTGGCTACCGCAGCAGCGCTTGTAGCAAACATGTGGCCCAAAAACTGGATTCCTAAATCATGTCAAGACCCATCAATGAGCTGCAGAGATCATCTTCCGATGGAGGGCTTGCCCACAACCAGGCATCTGAGTAAAGGAGCTTCCTGGCTTCTCAGCAGCCCCCAAAAATTGACTTTCAAGGACAGCGCTGATGTGCGCAGGCTGGGAGCGCTGCCTCTCAGGCAAGCTGCGTCGCTGATCGCCCAGGAAGGAGTTTTTTTGACCTCGCACATGCACTTGCTTTGCTCGCCGCCTCTCCCGGCTGAGCCCAGGGCACAGCAAGCGTCTACACGTGCTCAGGGCTTGTTTCTTCCCGAGCAAAAATGACTGCTGCCCGGGGAGACCGGTGTACGGTCAGTGCCAAGAGGAGCGAGCGAGCGAGCGGCGCTACACCACCG